ATTTGCTGCGCCTAGAAAACAAACGATGTATTAAGTTAAATATGCGTTTTGTGTAACACGCCCGATGATCAGGTAGTAGTTTTGGCAAAGACGGAAAGTATTTATGCATTCTTCCCGATTTTGATATATTGTGCTACTACAGAAATTAGTTGCGTGCCTGCGGGATAAACCATTTTAAATCTCGTGATGTTAATCCGAGAGTGGTCCTGCGGCGATGGGCGTTGAACGGTAGCCACTATTAGTGGGCCGTGTCGCAGCCGCACTATTATTAACGTCACTAAAGCTTAACCTTCCCCGGAACACGTGTTAGTCCACAGCTCCCGGTCATTCGGACCAAAAAGAGAATTCGTTACTACTGCTTGATTAATGGAATCTCATTCAATCGATGATGGCGCAAACGAACATCCAGACGACTAAAAATAAAAAATCGACGTTACCACTAATCATTTAAATGCTTTTATGGTCCCTTATCGAAATTTTTCTCTATTATCTCGTCGGAGGAATGGTGGACTGACTACTACTCTTTTACTGTGGCGCCGGCTGCTATTGAAACCATCACACCAAGACTGTTAAGGAACACTCTCGATCACTATCGGTAATCTCGCGAGTTATACAAGTGGATATAAAATTAAACGAGGTCAATACGTTTGCAATATGACGATACCGCTTTGTCTGCTGCCAATTAAGTCCGACCGAAACGTTCCAAAGGCGTTACTGAAAATGGCAAAGGAGCAATCAGCGGCGATTGGTATTCGATCCAAAGCTGTGCGATAAGAAGAAATCAGTTCATGAATATCGTCTTATTATCCTCGGTGGTAGCATCGGAATTGAAATATGAAAAACGACTAGGGTGATGGTTGTACGGACACCGTTTTGACCGCATAGCATCCGTTGGAATGAAGTAATTAAGCACACGTCTATTGTGCGAGCCACGAATAGGGAAAAAGGGCGGAGGGGTGGCGAGCGCCCGATTCTAAACGATCTTGAAGGGGCGGTGCGTCGATGCGGTGGAGGAGCACGTTGTCCGGACAAATGAAAAACGGCGTCCATTAGCCGAGATATGAAGTATGAATGCATTTCCAGTGAGGATTAATTCAACAAAAAACGTTATCATTATCGGGACCTCGGCTGCGGGGTCCATTATGTAAGGAGAGAAGTCCGCTCGGTCGGGGGCGGCGGCGCGGCGGGCCAGGTGATTAGTAGCTCAACCGGAGAGAGAGAGTGATTGAGTCCCGTCGAGATACGTGCGACGGAATAAACCATACCCGGCGGTGTTATCTGCTCTGGCAGCGTCGCTCCGGCCTTTTAATCATCCCTTAACACATTTCTCACCTTATCTCCCTAAACCTTTAAAAAAGTTTCGCTGGTGAGCTCGATAGCGCATAAAATGTCTGCAGATGACAGAGGTGTGCCCGCCGATTTAATGCGGATAGAATTCACAGATCAATTTTAGATTTGAAACGATTTATAACTTCCTCTTATACAGCGGCGGCACTCGATACCATCTATCGATCACGCTACATTAGCATAAGACATTGATTTATAATTATACCGACGGTAAGATTCCCCGCACCGCCGCCACCGCCGCGCCGCTCAACCCGGACTTTTTCATGAATTGGAGGAAACATCCACTTACCCTCACAAATCATACCGACCTGCCGCCTCCTCCACCAGACCTGAATGCTCGCGCTGTTCGCGCTTTTGCCACAACAGCCAGCACGTTTTTGTGTTTCGCTTTGTTCGTTCACACGACGCCCCGCTACCCCAATTCAGTGTTTACTTCCAATTAGAGTTTTGCACATGTTTTACTTACAATAGATTCGAACCGCGTTCACAACTACGAAAATTTCCCATACACGAACACATGTCGAAAGCAATTTATTTTTAAATTGAAGCAATTTTCATGGCTTATAAAATATGCAGATAAAGGCTCGTTAGTCGTTGTATTAAGTTTTATCAAACCTAATCGACATACATAATTGTCGCAGGTAACTACCACTTTACACTCTTGAGTTTTTTTTGCAACATTTTTTCTCAATAACACATTTGCCTACCGGTAAGTGGTGTATTATTTTTATTAGAACCACTATAGTCGTTTATATTTTTGCTTCTACCTGTTGTTTTTTCCTTTTTCACTATTCGAAAAGTAACAGTAATAAATCCTGAAATATTTCACATATTAGCCAGATTTATTGCATTAAAAGTATTTTAGTGTTTCCTTGGTCTTACACTGACACAACTAAAGCCTAGATTATCCATATTTTACCCACTTTTAGTTATTGCACACTATACGTAGATATTGAATACTCAGAAGTAACCTTTTTTCCCAATCGAATATTTTGTTATAAAAAAAAATTGATAGAGATGATAGTAACACCATTATCACGACATTCTTAAAAATAGAGACAACCATTTCGGTATATGGCCATGATTTTATTTCGATTTATGATGTTTAAGCAACTACATGTCGACACGGCTGTCGTAGTTTCACCCTCGTCAATTCGGACAGGATAAAGGTTCATAAATAGAAGCATGTAAGTAAATGTCAAATGTCAAGTGGAAAACTTTTTACCTAGCTTTAGAAGACTGAAGTCTAGCTTTATAAAAAAAACTATAATGGGCAACAGCTAAATCTGTGTTTAATAAAAAGCGTTATTAGATTCGAAGTTGTTAACATTTAACTGATGAATAAGTAACTTTTTTATGGACGGGGCGTTATTACTAATTAGTAAGTTCATCACCTTATGTATTTAGATTATCAGAGGTACAGAGTATCTTTACTTAAGTAGTAATGACTTACTGAAACGATAGTAGAAAAATAAACTGTTCGACGAAAATGGACGAACTGACGATGTAAAGTCAATAAAGCTTCTCGGCGCCTTGGGAAAAGGCCCGTGCTGATTTGCCAACCTCAGGAATCTCAAAAGTGAACGTAAGGAGAGAGAGAAATAAGAGGACGATGGTTAACCGTCACTTTAAACATATTCTCCACACACATTTTAAATGCGAAATTGCTTTTAATCGTCTCTTCTAATTCCAACAAAGACGTATTCATCCGATACTTATTAACATTTCTTACAATGCTTACGATGAATCTGTTAATTCCTATTGATTTTTCGAACTGCACACGCTTCCGTGTGCAACGACTATCCCACGCTTTACCGATCTTAGTTGCAGTAACCGGCAATTCCAAGATCGCACTAGCAGGCATTCCTGCGAGGAAGCTGTGCGTGTACGAATAACGTTTGCAGGAGCCATTACAAGCGATTATCGAGCGGATGTGATCGTGTACTTATCGCCCGTTCAAGTCTCCAGCTAGACTTCTGACGACTCTACCAGTCGCACTAGTTTAAATTAGACTGACCCTTCAGCACTAGCGGACGACGCAAAGTTCAGTGTAAATTTTTATTGAAAGTGAGTTTCGTGTGTTATTTGGAGGAAGTCGGAGGTTGTAGTTATACGTATGGCCCTGATGGCGTCTCGAGGTGGGCCACGCGACGTCCAAGCGATATGCAAATGCGAAAGATCGTGACGCACGACACTGTACGACACACCGCTACCGCTCTAATTAAGTCAATAGATTCATTCCACAACACAATCATTTACTTGCTGCTTATTACATTTTCATGAGACTGGTCAGTTTGCGAAAATAAAGTAATTTAGATTGATGGCTGCCGCTGAAATTACGATAACACCTCGTAATGTAACGTCCGTCGCGCTGATTTTAGTAGATTGAAAGGAAAGCATTGTTTTAGCAGCTGGCTGAAAGTGAAAAATTGTTACGCCCATTCGATTGAACTTTTTAACTGACACGCTTATGGGCTGGATGTTTGTATCGTATTCGATTTTCTTGTTGGTTATGTCGACGGGGTTATTTTTAAAATCATATTCTTATGCTTTCGTTAGTGCAATACGTATGTAGATTCTTCACATGGGTAATTAACAGTGAAACCAGTCTGTTATTACTGATGTACACATGAAGTTGTCCTCTAATTTAGATCTCCCCAGACACGCATCTCTTACCTTTTACTGTTACCAACATCGACATAGTTTTTGATATCCATATTTACCTACTTGTAAGCTTTGTTCATACTAGGAAGTGTAATAATTCATTGTCAGAGTCATTGTTAGAAAAAAATTGTGATGAATTAAGCATTGTGATGTTTTCATATTTAAATGTTATTGTGTAGTATCATGTCGGACAATTGTTGACGTAAACAGCGAGACACTTAACAAGTTGTAAAACGGTACTAACGAGAAACAAACCACATCACGGCGACATTCTTGATTGACACCGGTTAATGCAGTTTGTTACGTACGGCGGCTCTGTACATATTGGTTCAAGCCGGAGGCCATGTAATTAATAACAGTTTTCGATGTTATCGACAGTTCACACACATACGCACCAGTCTCACACATACACATCCGAACGAGCCAACCCTGCCTATACCTATACAGATCCCAATCTCTTCGGCTACACATTCCGAACTCTAATTAAAGATTGTTATCGTTCGCGAGAATTCCCATCCAGAGTCTTATTAATTCCTAATATCTTTTAATCTCGAACGCTATCAGCATTTTTGCCTTGTGTTATTGCCATTGTTTCCAAATTGACAACAATGGAAACTTCTGGGAGGTTTAAAGTAGATTCAATCACGGCGATCGCTTTTCGGAATGGGCGTCGTTAACACTTGGTGGCAAAGTGATGTATGTACGTTTGTGTACGGGTCGTTGCGTGGGCAGCCCTGACGGACTGCTTCATTAGAAGAGGGCTGCGACATGCGCGACCCGTGTACTGCTCGCTCTTATCACTGATGCATTTGTACCAACCTGTTCTCCCGTTCCCATCTATCGGAGACCAGCAATAACTTAAGCCGACCGAGCAGTATTTTATTACTTATCACCTAAGAGTATCAAGTACTCGCTCCCGATGCTATCTTTCCTCATGTTTCCTGGTAAAGCGTCGACGTTCGTCCGTTAACATTTGCATTTTGTTTCAGGGGAGGAAGAATGGGTGAACAACACAGATGAAAACAGTACTGCCACTACCAACTCGACGGATAAACCTTCTTCCGCCACACCTCCGGCCAAAAGCAAGACTCCCGATAGATCAGACGACGACGATTCGAAGAATACCACGATCAAAACCGAAGCTGACTCATCGCCGCCTCGTATTAGACTCAAAGCCAACCTAGCCACAGATCCAGCACTTCAGTCGCAGCACATCACCATCCCTAGCCTAAAAACCGAAATCGAAACGAGTCAGTCGCCCAGCGAATATCTAGCGGCGTTGCCATCCGCCATTCAAAACGCACTAGCTTCCAGAGGTTTCTTTTTACCTAATCTATCCGAAGCACGGACGGTCGAAACTGCCGAAGTCGCCAGGCAACCCAGCGTTCCTCTTTTCATATGTCCGCCTTGTGGCATCCGCTTTTCTTCGTTGAGCACTCTGGAAGCGCATCAAACGTATTATTGTTCTCATAGAGCTAACAAACCTGTCGACGAGGATGCCAAATCAGTCACCGGTGTCGAAGCGAGCGGTAGTCAATCAGACCAAGATCCGTCGGAACCATCAGTAAAGAACATCCGCACCGGCAAACAATACACCTGTACTCACTGTACTTACAGTGCAGATAAAAAAGTCAGTCTCAACAGACACATGAGGATGCATACTGTATCGCCTAGTCCCGTCAATGTGGCCACCACAACCATTCCTAATGGAGATGCGTCCAATGATAATCAGGATCGTTACTGTGCCGAATGCGACATACGCTTCAGCTCCCAGAAAACATATAGGGCTCACAAAATGCACTACTGCAATTCTAGGCACGTAGTGAAGTCGTCTGCGAACGCCCCTTCGAAAACTACGTCGAGTTGTACGTCGGGATCTTCACCGACGTCACCAGTAGATACGACATGTCGGACTCCTCCGTCTCCAAGTACCCAGATTCCACCACAGCAACCCTTCTTAGCGTTACCAACAAATCCGATCATTATTGTGCCATACTCCTTGTTTCGTAGTGCCAGCGTTCTACCGGGTCTACTTCCATCAGCGGGCCTTCCAAATCCTGATACACCCTGCTTTCTCTTACCTAATGGAACTCTGCAACCGATGACCCAAGCTTTCAATCACAATCCCACGCCGCAGCCGCCTGAAGTTCTGAAAGCTGTTAACAAGCCCAAAGAGAATTCAATCAACAAGGAAGTTTCAGCGGCACCTCTAGATCTTAGCATAAGGAAATCGCCAGAATTAAAAAACTTGGTTATAGATTTGGGAGACGACCAAGAGAAGGAAAATCTAAAACACAGGTCGCCGACACCTGAGAAAATTGAATGCGTGCCATCCATACACGGGTCACCCCCTTCGACTCCAGTCTCACAGATAGGTGCTTCTCCGGTTTTGAGCGTTTCACCAAAACGCAAACACGAACATGAAACATCCAGGAGCAATAGTCCGCGACTGTCACGATCAACTCCGAAGTCCAATTCCACGAACGAACGTTCAAGAACTAGTCCCGAAGCCAATCCAACCTTATTCGACATTCCACCAGTACTTCATCCTCTTTTGATGCGAGCTGGTCCTCTATCCCTCTTTTCAGATGTCCAGATGCGACTAGCCGACCTTCCGAGTTTACCTCCAGTAGCTCCTCAGGTTCTGGTGAAACAAGGGGTTTCCAAGTGTAAAGAGTGTAACATAGTATTTTGCAAACATGAGAACTACGTCATTCACAAGAAACATTACTGCTCAGCAAGAAGCCAGGAAGATGATGGATCAAAAACCTCGGGAAGTCCGCCTATAAGTCCCAGAAGCGCTGGTACCACGAGCCCTGCGGGACAGTACCAGCAACTAATTTGTTTAGCTTGTGGAATCAAGTTCACATCTCTTGACAATCTAAACGCACATCAAGCGTACTATTGTTTGAAACGTGGAGAGTTGGAGGTCAGGAGATGTGGCAAATGTAGAGGTGTAGCCGAACCAGGTCATCAGTGTATACCTGCTGGTACTTTGTCTGGATGGAAGTGCCCGTGTTGTGACGTGGTGAGTCCGACTGCTAGTGCTGCTCAGCGCCATATGGAATCGCATACTGGTGTCAAGGCGTACAGGTGCACAATATGCAGATACAAGGGTAATACGTTGAGAGGAATGCGTACTCACATCAGAATGCATTTCGACAAGAGGTCTCCAGATTTGCAGGTACATTTTTAAATATATTAGGGCCGGAATCTGTCATTTTACAGTGGTTTCTTTGTTTCAGGAGGAGAAGTACATCACTTACATCTTGGAAGACGACGGTGCGAATGTAATGGAAGTAAACGTGTCTCCGGCGGCCGCTGCCCCCGGCGTGATCGACGATCGGGCGGCATCTCCAAGCTCGGAAAACCGTGTAGAGCCATTGCACCATTGCACCCAATGCATGTATAGTTCCCCCTACAAAGCGAACGTCCTCCGACACGCGAAAATCGCCCACAGTCCTCGCGAGAATGAAGAAGTCACAGTCAACGGTTCCTCTGACAAAGCCACTACCCGATCAATGCCCTCGCTAGATGACGACGACATCATCATCAAGAAGGAAGCCATAGAACCAGAAGTGATCATAGCACCCATAGAAGATTCGCCGAAGGAGAAGATTGCGGAGGAAATTGCGAAGAAAAAAGAGCAGGAAGAAGAAATTCTACAGGAAGCTTCAAAGGCCGGGCCGAAGTACTGCAAATCTTGTGATATATCCTTTAATTACTATTCGACGTTTATCGCGCATAAAAAATTCTACTGTTCGAGTCACGCCGGCGAAATTACCGCCGCCTCGACGAATAATAACAACAATTCCACAAGAGCAGCAGAAACTTCGGTATTGTAAGCATCCGATCTAGTGTTATAGTGACAGAAACAAGTGATTCTTAAGTGTTGAAATCTGGGCCAGTCCTCTGTATACGCGTACTTGTTATCATGTATCTTGTAGATTTTCGCAAAGCGACACATAATCGCAATACGTTAATATAACTGAGTGTAAAAATTGATAAGTTTTTAAGCTTTGTTTTGTATAAAGTAAAGATTTATGGATATTTTTTATAGGTTTAAGTTGTATCATATGAAATAACATAATGTTATGCCAAAGCTGTAGTGTATGATTTTCCTTGTCGAAATTTTTGTAGGGACATACATAAGCGTAAGCCTCTTTTATTCATATCGTTTAAGGGACTATGTCTGAGTTGCAATGGAAATAGATAATGTACAAGTGAATTCATGTTATATAATTATATAGTTGTTTGGTGTTTAAAACACCCACTGAAGGTTATATAAATATACAGTGATTACCCTTCTTGGAGACAATAAATTATTTATTTGTAGAACGTTATTTTTATTGTGAACAGCAACAAAAGAAGTAATCTAAAGAAAATGAACCTTTCACTTCTGAAACAACTTGATAGGTTTGAGGCTAGGGTTAACAATGCCTTTAATGAGCGACGGTCTTGAAAAATTTGATGTGTAGATTGTGTTGAAATACTTGCAATTTTAATAATTAAAAAATATTCAAAAATTTGCGAAGAACTTTAAGACAACATAGTTTATTAAGGAACCAGGAAGCTACATTTTATCCTGCATGAGTCAACGTTGTTGTAGGTAAGTATAAGATTAATAATGCATATAGACATAAATTCCAAGGTTTTTGATATTATTAAAATTCTACTTAAAATAGTTTATTTATATTAGTAACGTCAAAGTCAACACATCCTATAAACCCACTATGTATTAACCAAGTTTCAATTTCTGCAATTTCATCTTGATAAGACGATATACGGAGTCAGTTGTCACAAAATTATTTTCACCCGGCGCCTCCACCACTTGTACCATACTTGTTCTTTTCTGAGCAGTCCATGGAAGCCGCATCGTACAACGAATTTTATTTTTCCACTATTGCAAACAGATTTACCTCTCATAAGATTATCAAAAATGCGTCAATGTGTTTCTTTAAGGCCCATTAAGAGTTAAGAACTGACTGTAAAGTTGTAGAAGCTCATAAAATTGAGTGGATCGAATAGGTACTTAAACAACAAATAAATGATAACTCATTTGACTATAGTATTTGCCTACATACGCAAACGAATATACTTCGCTTTTCTTCTTATCCGGCCTTATTGTACCTATTCTTAACTTAAATAAAAGTAGTTTTGTACTGACGCTCAGCAAAAGATTGATCAAAGTATCATTTGATTATGTATTGTTGATTCTAGATCACTCATGTCTGAAATTTCTCAGGTTACCTAGTAGTTAATTTTGACTTTTACAATAATTCTATTATCAGTTTTGAGCTCGGAGAAGTTTCTACTTTTTGCGATAAGATACGGGTTAGATATACTAACGATGAAAAGGTTGTTGTGATCTTAATTTTTGAAAAAAATTGTTTATGCGTCAGATTCATTTAGCGAATAACTAATTTAATATTTTCTAGACGTTTCATAGCTCATACAGTATGAAAAACTAGGTCTCTCGTTTCCGCTATATTACAAAATACCGTAATTTCCATAATACTGATAGCATGTAGCTAAATAGTAGCACAAGATCTTATCTTTGATGTAAATTGACATCCACCTCAGCCGTCAACTTAAATAAGTTTTAAATAATTAATATTTTAAAATTGTAAAAAAAATTACCATAGATGAGTGATGAAACCACACTCTACAACACAAGCTATTTTCTTTTGCAGTTAATCACACAGTTGATCTCACTGGATGTGTACAAACAGCGTATGACACAGCGATCTGTCTCGACACGGCTGCCCAATCAACAATGCAAAAAGTATTAATTTGGTACTTAATACTTGATTTTAGTCTAGGTTCCTCTCTTTCGACTCATGAGACCCAGATTGTCACTCCTGTAATATTTAGTGCCTGAACTGCGGTTCTCTAAAACATATTAAAATAATTGCATTTATTTTTCATCACAAAGTGTTCATTCCTGGGGAACACGACTAAATTATGAAAAGACAAGCTACAAACAGAATAATAATACACTGTTAAGAACTTTCAGAATTTACATATCTAAAGGTGAAAGATTAAAGATTGTGATATTTATTGAGATTTACCTGCTCTCTTCAATGTAACTGATCCCGCGATAATAGGCTTGAACAAAGAATTTTATGTTGTACTTGACTCTCTAATAATAAGTACTTACAATTACTTACGTAATTGGCTTAATAAATTGTAAGTGCGTGAAATAACAAAGGAATCGATCAACGAGATTATTTTCAAATAACGCAAGAAGTAATTTAGATTCTTTTTTAAATATTTATGCAAAATACATAAAAATCTATAGAGGTAATTTGCATCTTTCATGCAAGGTGCGTTTGAGGTCAGATGGCTTAAGTAGCAAAACAAACGCCACGTAATTGAAAAATGCACGATGTCTACGAAGCATTCTTGCAACAAGAAAAAACTTCCAATGAAACTTAAAGTTGTGACACGGATTTCAGTAAAGCATAAGCTGCTGGGTTAATCTAAATTTATGCTAGTTTCGAGATGAATCAACAATTAATGTTCTATTAAAGATTTAAGAATGAAAAAACAAAAGTTACTCTTATAAATAGATTGTGCTTCAGGCACGAGAGAAATTCTGTCTAAAAACACCTTTAAATCAATCTTTACTTCTCAAGCGTAAGCTTAGGACATATGCGTTGTATTTTCTCAACGTTTCAGGACCCCTAAAGTCTCCGTTTCCGTCAGCCTGTCTTTCTATCTGTTGCCTTTGTTAACTTTTATTAGGCAGATAATAGATAATCTTCGAAACTACCGAACTGATTGTTGGTCAAATTTTATACGTAAGTTAACAGGCCACACATATCTCTTTATTTTAATTTATCGGAGTTATCACAAAAAATTAAATTGTATAAAATATTTTGCAATGTTGAAATTTTAAAACCGAGTGCTCTGAAATTTTGCAAACATTTCGTTATCGTAAGGAATGTGAATCATCATTTAAACAAAAATTTTTCTCCAATGATGACGTCATTTTATAATTTTGCTGAATAAAAGTTTTTTACATTTTAGAAAGTAACATGCTCCTGCATTTGTAATTTATATATTTATTTTCCCCACTTGCATGGACCGCGCCTCCTTGGAATTTGCGCCCCCGTGACGCAAAAAACTATTGGTTTTTACTTATAGAGGTTATCATAAAATGAAAATCGCGAAATCAAGTTTTATCATTTTTGAAAGAAACGGGGTTTGTTGGGCTATACTTCAAGGACATGGGAAGTTGTGTCGACCATTTTTTTTTTTAATTTAGCACCTATGTTGTTGATTGTTGTCTGTTACAGTGAATTTATTAACAGTATTTTAGTTCTATGTTATTGTGTGCGGTGGAAGATCTTAATCTGCTGTAAAACTTAAGTTAATAAGTTGAATAACTAAATTTCTGTTGATCGTTTGGGAAAACAGAAAGTCTGGTATGTGTTTTTTCACGTGTATATTGTTCGTGATAGATAAAATTCGCTTGGATAAACTAGTTATATTAATATCAATGATAAAAAAATATATGTAAATAGGAAACACCAGTTGACAAATCTAAAAGAACAGTTTTTGTTTTCTATCCAAGAAATACAGAAAAAATATATAATCAAAAAATAAAAAGAAACTGCATTAAAAAATTCTCTTGCTATGGGCAACATCCCCCAAACACGAATTCCATAATTCATTACTCTGTGATCCAATGTATAATAAACGGTTTAATACTTAAGAAACAAAATATATAATAAAAAAAATAATATGTTTCACAAATCAAAAAAGCTGCGAAATGATTCCACTTGAAAGATACTTCTAATTTAGAATACGAAGATTATTCTTGTTCAGCCTTGTCCATATAATTTTTTGCTATTATCGGAACTCTTCCACTTGCACGTGAAACTCTACCGAGGTCACTTCCCACAAATTTACCAGCTGCTGACAGAACAGTACCCACGACGGGACCATCTATTATTCCACTAGCATATCCCCCAGCAACTGCTAAAGCTTTTCCAGCCCAGACACTAATATCATTAGAAATATCATCAACTTACTATGGTTAACCGCTGCTTAAAACAATCTCGCAATTGGTCGTTGCAATCCATGTTCAATTTCGGGACATAAGTATACCATCTGTAACTCCATGCGAACTTTTTTCCATAAAATTCCACTAGTTAGGGTGTCATTGACATCCATCCATTTTTATTCCACACTTTGACGTGAGACATACAAATTTAAGAAAAGCACTACATGTAAAAAAACAGTTTAATTTTTTTAATAGATAAAACAATACAATATTAAGGCAGCAGACACTTTTGTTGCGAAAATAGTTAATTGCCAGGTCTGGTTCCGCTTTTATCCAATCCATGACAGCCCTGAGTTTTTTCCAACTTGCTACTCAGGTAACAGACGTGAGACATGCATCTCCAATGGCTTTTCCTCGTGTAATCAAGGTCAATTCTGGAACTTACAAAATTTGTTATAATAATGTCTTAGAACTTGTTTCTCCAACTGTAACAGTTTTGAACTAGTCATGTGTGATCAACCGTTAGTTTCTATTGATCCTAGTCATTTAACACAGATTATGATATAGGATGTTAACGACAGATCTTTAAAATTATGAATGGTAGGAATGAAGGTTACAGCTGTGTATACAGATTTTAGCAAGGCTTTTAACACAATCACTCATTTTACATTTTTTGAAAAAATGGCAGCAGATGGTATTTCTAAATTGGTTCAGAAGTTATCTTCACAATAGAACTCATCAAGTTGAAACTGAACAACTACGTGTCCACTACTCGACGCGTACTCTCAGGAATGCCTCAAGGTTCTACACTCTGACCAATACTATCCTGAATTTATTTAAACGATCTTGGCGTTAAATTTTCCTCTGAATATAGTCTTTTCGCTGGTGATAATAAACTCTTCAGAGTAATTCGTAGTTTAAAAGATGTCAAACTTTTACAGGATGATCTTAATATTTATTCGATTGGTGTGAAATGAATCAAATGATCTTAAATTACGACAAATGTTTTGTGATTCATTTTACTCGTAAATTAGCTCCATCAGTTCCAGTGTACCGGTTCAACGGTAACAAAATCAAAATCTCTTCATTAGCTAAAGACATTTTATTAGATAGCAAATTCTCCTTTAAAGTTCACTAGGATCATATCCTTTCCAAAGCGATAAAAACTCTAGGCTGCATCAAAAAGTATGGTAAAGACTTGCACAGTCTACGTACTTTTACAGTTCTTCTTACCTCGTTGGCAAGACCTGTACTTGAATAGTCTGGTCTCCGTACCACATGTACCATATAGAAAGGATTGAAACGATTCAAAATAAATTATTTAAAT